ATGGAGAGGCCATTAAGCCTTAGCGACCATGTAGTCACACCATTTAACTAACTTCGCTATGCAGAGTAGCCTTCTGAAAATTTGGAATTAACTCATACAACCAAACGTTACCACGTCCTGAAAGAACTCGCCAAATATCTACTTGGGATTTCTTGATTCACAGTACAGTTGACAGTGGTTGGACAGAATTCGTTGAAAGGCTCAGCAACATGGTCAACTGTGCATCAGGAATCAAGCTAATTCGTGAGGTTAAAGTGCCGTCCATTCTCAGGAGCAGGACTGGAAAATGTATGGGAATTATCTGTGATTACTGTTTACTGGTTGGGAGCAGAGAGTAGAGTTTGCTCTGTGTAGATGCATCTAATGTCACTCAGGGACAAGACCCGTTTTGTTTTGTTGCGCTCAATATATTTTGCGTCGGCAAAGTGTGTGTCCAGGAACTTCCTAAATTCCGACACCGACTTTGCCTCAACTAAGTGCTGCGGCAGGCCGTTCCATACATTCACCACTCTGCATTCGAAACAGAGTTGGTGAGCTACCTGCTTCAAATCCGGTGCAACAAGCTTGTACCGGTGTCCCCGTGTGCTGCTTGGTGTGCGCAGATGAAGCAGCGGCCTCAACATTGGGTAATCTCCCAGATGTAATATCCGTTGCGCCATGATGAGGTCAACCTGCATTCGACGATAGACTAGGGTGTACAGCCCTAGTTTATTACACCGGTCTTCGTTGGACACACCTCGTAAGTTGGAAATCAGCGTGGTGGCTAGATGATGCACTCCTTCAGTCTTTTCTACCTCGCCCTGGGTGATAGGACAAGACACGGGAGAGCCATATTCTATCATTGGTCGTATTACTGAGACGAAGAGGCGAGTGGCAATCACTTCGGACCAAGTGCTGAAGCTGAGCCTGAGCGCCCAAAACAAACGAAGGCTGTTTTGGTAAAGCCTATTCGTGTTGTACATGGAATTTAGTTTGTAGCGTGAGAGTACACCGAGGTCGCGCACGAAAGGCTCGGGATGCAACGTTTGAGCTACCACCATGTAGGTTCGACTGTGCTCACACTTACCCAGCCTTATGAATTGCGACTTGACCAAGTTGATGACAAAGATACATCACAACGGTGACTGGACAAAAGGATTCAGGCAAACAACTAGTGTACAGACATGTCAATAACCTTCGAAAATTAAAGCATGGCATCCCCCACTTTTCGCAACGGATAGTAGGGTAGAAAGCGCCTACGAAGCGGCCAGCAGCCTGTCGTGTCACATACCGTCATCCACCTTAACGACTTCAAAACGCATATTATCCGCGAGCTGGTAATTATACCAAAGAAGTTTATCTCGTGCACTGTCATAGCTCTCTTGGAACCAACAATATTCACCCGAAAGCACCGAAGGCTACGGCCACTAAGCTAACCGAGACCTTATCGCGCTTCTACCAAAGGTGCTTGTCTCAACAACTAGTCCTAACTGTGTATGAGCAGAGGATTATCATCCGAACATTTTAAAAATGTCATTTGTTCTGACTCGGCGAACTATCGCCTAGTGAGTTTCCTCTTAAAGGAGATGTAAACGGCCGTCGCTGAAACCTTAGTGGACCAACTGGAAAATGAAGCGTCATGGCACCGGGCCACATGGCTTCCGTCAACACTGGTTATGCATACAAATTTGCTGATGCTACGAGGTAGCTGGGTGGAAGTGGCTGATAAATGAACCGGGGTCGACATCATCTACCTAGACTTTTCCGAAGCTTTCGACCGTCTGGGTCACTGCCTCCCACTTTACTGGCTACAGAGCTATAGCATCGGAGATCCTGTCCCTGGTTGGATTGGCAAGTTTCTTCGGCAACGGTGGCTTCAACTGAGTGTTAATGGATCATTTTCCAACCGAAATGGTGTGGAATGCGGGGTTCCACAGAGTTTAGTGTTGGCATCGCGATTATTCCTGGTGCTTACCAACGAACTCGAAGTAGTTATCTCCTTGAATTTCTTGCTTTTTCTCGCGATGTCGATGTGACCAGCCATTAATACCAATGGCGATCACAATTTCCTACCACGTGACTTGGATTGCCTTCATGGCTGGTCGACAAGGAATCCACTCCAAGTTGACATCGCTAAGCACCAGGTATTTCGAGTACCTTATCAGCCGAAGAGCATGTACAAATTGGATAATGCGTCTTGTGGAAATACTCCAAGGATCTTAACCATTTGGTATTTGTCCAAGACGAACTCGCATGATCGAAACAAGTAGAGAAGGCGTCGCGAACCAGTACTAAACAACTTGGCCTTCTAATCAAAGCGTTCGGGGTGTTTTAACCGTGTATCTCCCCACAACTGTTTACCGCCAATACGCGACCGCGCGTTGGAATACGCTATCCATGCGTGGCATCCGTGGCAGAAACAAGACCTCGCTACTGTGGAGACTCCTCAACAAAGGGCACCTAAGAACGTCACGGGTCTCCTCCACCTGCCTTACTAGTTTAGATTGAAATAAATAACGACGTACAGCAGTCGGTATTACCGCATGCGGAGGAACCTCGTATTGGCTTACCGAATCCAGAAAAACCCAAACCACATTTGTTGCCTGTTACTGGTACCGAGACAACACCAGACTTAGAGGTCATCATTTAAAGTTGATCACACTGTGTAGCCGGTTGGAATGCAGTCGCCATTTCTTCTGCCTTTGAGTGTACCAGCCACGGAACAATCTCCTTGCGTAAGTTGTTACTGCCCTCGTCCAGGGAAATTTAAAGTAAGGTTCGAGGACAAATTGTGCCAGTTGTAATTCATTTCATAACTTGTGTCAGCCATGAGACTACATGGCGCAACTAGGCGAGATATTTCCCAAATTCTAACAAGATGGAACTATGATTCTTATCCTATGAACAGCTCAGTGAGTTTACCTTGTACACACAATTTTTTCTGGTACCCTCCGTTGACTTTTACCATTTTCATCGCCACCTTCCTACGGGGCCTGTTAAGCGTTGCCACCTTCCCCGTTACACGTTATTCCATTTGCCCAAATGAGACTAAAACCGAAGCAATAATAAGCAGTAAACCGCAAAGGTGAATGTACTAATTCGACATATGAAGCTCGTTGTGTAATTTAGGCGCAAAATTGAAGCGTCGACATCCGGTTGAGTAACGCAAAGGGATTTCGTAGGTTCGCGACGGTTTTAACAAACATTAGCAGGAACTGACCGGATATTTCGTCGGTTTTCACTCTTCCTTCGCTCGATCAACATAGCACGTGGGTTGCATCTTGTTCTTTGTGACGCTGCTTCTAAACAACCAAGGTACCCTTAGTGTGAACACATACATTGGTATCCGGCGGCCAGAATGAAAACCAACGTAAGGAAGAGCTTGCCTCAACTTTAGTAGGCTTTTTTTTGCTTTACTTTATAAAACTTGCAGAAGTTGTGGCACAGCACAAATCATTCGTATACGTACGTCTTGAATGTAAGGGAAGCTTGGAGTTGACCACTCAAAATTAAAAGTCTACCGGGCCTATTTCTACACACTTGGACCGGCCACCTGCTATCCAACATGATCGGATTAATAAGTCCAGCTCGTTAGCAAGATGCGTTATGCTTATCAGCAGGGATAATTTGGCACAGGGTACAATTTGTAATCGAAGTGGCAAAAAATAAAAACCTCTACGTCGATGTCGGTCTTTGTATCAATTCAGTTGCTGAAACTGTTTCGCCACCTACGCATGCACAAGCCGAGGATGTGTAGCGGACACGTCACGCATCCTCGCAAAATTGCAGCACCAATGCCAGTGCGTGGGCTGTGCTACACAGAGTTCAATTCCTCCCCACAACGTAGCTGGATCTGACCACTCAAAGTCGGAGCGGAACTGGGTTAAACTGGACAATGTTCTTTCAGGAATCACCAGGCCGACTTGGTGATTCATTCACGCACAAAATGAAGCATTGTTCCAACTGTGATTCGGCCTTTGTAAGAGCGCCCAGAGGTCCGCTTCGCCTTCACTTGTCCCCTCTCTTGCGGGTTGGAAACCGCGTGGTCATGTGATCGTGTGTTCTGCGTTTAAGTTCCCCGGTCGTATGCGTGGCGTTGTCCGTTTACGAGGACTCAGCGTGCCATCCGAATACGTGTGTAACTAGGGTCCGTGCTCAGTTTGCGTTGTAGCTCTCGTTTAAGCTAACGCGTCCAGGTCTGAGCAAATTCACTAGAGGATGCTACTTTTTCAACTGTGCTTCAGAGATTGAGATATTACATAGTGAATAAAAAGTTAGGCTTTTAAACGTACAAGGATACATTTACGCTGCATATACTTCAGATGTTTTACATTTGCTTAGATGCGTGATACAGACGTTGTTACACTTATCGGTCTTGCGTTGCAAAGCAATTAGAAAGAGTACCTGTTTTGACTCAAGTACTTTCAACTCTTCGAAAAAAGGGTAGCAACTAATCTTTGTCCTCGATTGAGTGATTTCATCTGGGCGAAATTAACTTAGAATCGCATTTCACAGACCTGCTACATTTCCTAGTTAGTTCCCCACGCTTCATCTGGTTCGCTGCTAGTGTGAAATTCGACGTCAATCCCCGTTAGGGCCAAAGGGACGTGCACCGTTAATGGTGGCAATATATGTACGTAGTCGCTCGCCCGGTGGTCGCCCCGAAGAGCCAGTGTGACCAAGATAGGTTGCTGAGGCATTGACCCAAGGGTACCATTGTCGGCTTGCCAACTTGAATTCCATTCAGACCATGGCGTAGAACTACATCGCTTTGCACCAGAAATAATCAAGTGGATTTGCTAATCACTCTTTCTAGCGGTTAGAACCCAACCAACAACCTTAAGCCATGTAGTTTATCGGGTGTGAGCTGAACCTAAACCAAAATGGGAGGCCACAATGTGGCAGGCCCTTGATCAACGAGGGTATCCGATGGGGCACCATGACAGCAACTAGGCTTGACACAGTTTGAAGTGTTCCGTCCTAAAATTACCATTGATTACAACCGACTATTGTGAGCACGATTACTTCGATTCTCTTACCCATTCACAATACTCCAGCAGCATGTAGAAGGGCTCTTGTTCCATGCAAATTCCAAGCAACCTGGTCACGTGTTCGTGATTTAATTTGCCAAAAAGTTCCAACTGGCGATGAAACTCGTTAATATGCGTTGACTCATGTGATGCTAAAGACTTGACCAGAACAAGTGACTGACTTTCATCCTCCTGTATGTTGCGTGCTCTGGCGAGAAAAATATCACCAAAGATCCCTTTTCCTACAAAGTAAAATAATACCGATTATCACTCGTAAGTGGCATAAAGTTATCTAATTTGATAGCGGGGTAAGTAATAAGTGAGTGGTAAATACTTTCACGACAGCTCATAGGGGGATGGCTAAGATGCAATAGTTAATCCTTACGTCTGAATACCTTAAGACAGACAATGCGCTTCAAATTCAGCAATCCATTCAGCAATCGCTCCAGTAATGGCGATTTTAAGCAAGGATAGATGAACACCTATTAAGCAAGTTTACATCCTACCTCTGTAAAGCGCCTAAAGAACGATAAGGTAGTTATTGGACACTGGTTTCGGCAATAAATCGAAAGTTCCGAGGTAAACATCAGCAATAGCTAGTAACCAGTGTTCCTCTGTACAATCGCGTCACTTCGTCTACTCGGTTCATAAGAGTTGACAGGCCATCTGTACTCGATCTTGTGCTCGCCAACGAGGAACATATAACTGATGTTATAGGTAGAAACTCGTCATTTCTAGGCTCACTCAGACAGCCGTCACACGCCCGGAAAAGCGCTGTACGCGCGTTTAATCCTTTCGGGAATCGTCAGCAGTGCGCATTCCATCGGACACTGTTGGGGCTCGAACCCCCAACTCCACTTTTGCCAGTCCGTGGTTAAGACAACTGAGCTACGAAGGAGGGCAACGACCATCGTAAATAAGCTACTGGATGTGATATAGCGCCGCTCAGTATCCACTGAGTTGCATCTTACTGCCCTGCAGAGGACAGGGTAGCTCCCTCACCAAGCGACGAGCTTACCAAACTCAAGCCGCCAATTAACTTATGGCCTTATAAGCAGTTTGGTCTGCGTACTGATTACAGAGGAGTAGCAGGGGGAGTTGAATGGCATAGGTAGAAATTCGCCACATCTTGATTCACTCAGGCAGCCGTCACACGCCCGGAAAAGCACTGTGCGACGAATTTCGACCTATACCATTCAACTCCCCCTACTTCTCCTCAGTTATAAAATTGATGTGTTTGTTTTAACTTCGCCTACTATGCTGAATATCGGAATGAGAACTATGAGACTGTGCGAACCATCACACGCTACGACCACTTCGTCAAACTCATCAGCGCCACAACTTGGTCGTTAGTCGCCGAGGCCCCTGTAGAATTCCTCTGGCTCGAATTCGTCAACAAATTAAATCGACCGATAGCAAATACTTCAGAGACAAGAGCTTACAATGGGCCTAAAGCAGTTCCTTCCCTAAGGAACAGAATTCGAAAAAGGATGTCAATACGCAACGCAGTATGTCAAGTATATAGATTAGCTCCAACCCCAGAAACTTGGGACCATTATGTAGCCCAACGTAACCACTGCAATGAAGTGGTCAGAGAAGGCGAAGCTGATCATCAACAGAACATGGCAAAACCTTACAACACTAAGGACATTTTGTTGTATAAGCATGTCAATGGTCGAACAAAGCTAAAGCAGAGATTTCCTTCACTTAGGGCGACTGATGGCTCGACAAGCACAGCCACCAAGTTGCAAACGGCTGCGGATGCAATATGTCCCGAAATTTTTTGAGGATCTCGACATCAGGCGATCTTTCAGCATTTTTGTCTCCGCCGCCAAGACTCACCCACATCTACCTTACCACTGAAGCTATCTTGCAGAAATTGACGTCTCTGCACAACTACAGCTTCACTGGTGTTATTAACATTCGCCGAGACACTGGAAGCATCAGAAGAACAACTGGCAGGACATTTGGCTCAGTTCTTCTGGCGTTGCTTAGGACAGAACCAAGTTCCGACTGTGTGGAAGGTTAGAATAGTAACTCCGAATAACAAAGGCGAAAGTTGAACTGAGCCTTCAAACTACCGACCAGTATCTCTTCTCCCTATGTGCTGTCCAAGTTCATGGAATCCATCATTGTCGATGCGTGGGTACGTTATCTGGCAAACTAACATTCTTACTCCCAAGCAGCACGGCTTACGTCGACAGCGATCGTGTACAAGGAATTTTATACGCACACAGAGTAGTTGAACCGAGCCTGCTGAAGCTGGAGAGGACGGTAATATGTTCGACCTGGATTTTTCGAAGTCATGCGATAATCTAGCTCATCGGATATTCCTTTCCAAGGCTCACTTCTAGATCCACAATTGTTTTTGGTGTATATTAATGACCTCGCATAGCCTGATGATATCAAAATTTGGCTCAGAAGTCAGATGAATGCCGAAACGCATCTGCTTTAGAGTGACCTAGGCATGGTAGATCACCGGTCAATCCTGCACTTCAACATAACTAATTGCAAGATATTTTCCATACAGCACCAGATCAAATGCTCATGCAAGCTCGGGACGCATGTACTGCACTGTACTACTGTTGCAAATTACCCAACAATGCGCTCATTGTTTGCTAATAATAATTATTCAAGAAGCACCTCGATATATGTGCCATAGTTTTTAGAAGTACATATTCAAATTACTATGGTAACAAGAGTTGGCAGGGGAATAAATACTTTAGTATTTCACCTGAGTGCGTGGAATTTCTAAATGACGTACACTAAGACATGGGTATTTTGCAGCTGCGTCGTAATATATAGAAGTATACATTTCCTAGCGCCATTGTAGTTGTCATCGAAAAATCCAAGTAGCATCCACATGCCTTCCGGTCTTATTCCTTCGGGTTAACACCGCACATGGGGTGTGTGGGTGGAACTGTGGGTTGTGCAGCGCAAGCCACCGTGGTTCGCTCTTCAGGCACACGCGTTCTGTGGCTATCCCTGTGGAAGCCACAGTGACAGGAAAATCCGGACACGGATGCCCCCAATACATACCAACGACCGACCAATGAACGGCGGCCCGTGAAAGGATAAGACGAAATTTATACTACTTGCAAACTGGTTGGTAGTTACATTACCAACCGCATTTTCCAACGATCACATTGACAGCACGTGCATGAGCTGGGTGGCTGCTACGGGCAATAAATACTTACCCAGGATACCCTCAATCTGCAATTCGGAACGCGGATAGTGCATTCGATCAGCTTGGCTAATGGAAGCAGGGCCATAGACGTCGCCATTAGTTTGAGCACCATGACTGGCACCACCGGCTTGTAGCCCGGTGTTAGAAGCCCCGCTTAGCAAGGAACGGGAATACAAACTGGTCGAGTTGCCCGAGGATATGCCGCTGAAGTGTGAGCGAGAATCCAGTGGCGTCGGTGGTGGCGCGGACATTAGAAGCGGCTCGGATGCTGTGGTAGTGTTCGTGCTGTTATCCGCGCCCGATGTCCGATGTGTGTATGGGTAACCACAAGGAGTTGAGTGCAGAGGATGAGTGCGCATGTGACCATGTGATTGCACCCCAACGCTCTCCGTGTTGGACTCGGAGGTTAACTCCAGTGGGCCAGCTGGTGTCCCGTGCGGTACCTTGGACTGCTGTTCGGAAGGACAAAAGTAACCGTGGGTATTCCATGATCGCCAATCGTGACTGTCTTGTGGAGCACCAGATGGAGCCTGCAAACACGCTGCCCCCAGTCCTGTAGGAGTGATTGATGCATGCGTTCCAGTATTTCGAAGGTTCTCACCTTCCGCGTAAAAAACCCCATTTCTCATGGCTGTCGTATTTGAACTTAATAATGTTGGCGTGTGATGCGCATACACATGACCAAATGAAGTTGCCCCGCTACCGCTAACTCCAGATCCCGCACCAGTCATATGCAACCCGGAGTCGAAGGCATTTCCAGGACCACATGCGCTGTTTTGCGGGGTACCGTTCATTCCACCAGCTCCATTTGGTTCACCTCCTGGTGTCAACAACTGGCCATTTTCGTGGATTTTAAGTGCTAGGAAAATTAGGGAAAGACGATGCATCATATGAGTGAATCAAAAGTAACAGGAAGAGCATATACGTCTATTTTGTTTAACTTTCTTTTGAAAAGCGCAGTAAGAAGACGGGGACTGACAAATGTACACATTTCATATGGTCTCATCAGTGACTTTAACTATAACTCGCAACAAGATTTTTTCAGTGAAGGATGCGACCAAACGTACATGTAAACAATCAAACAGATCAACACAGGATAAGCGAAACAGGGTTATCAATCCTATCCCCTGGGCAGTCTAATGCAGACTTTTTAGTTTTTACCTTGTCTGCCGTAACAACAGTGAAGATGCGACCCACCGCTTGTGGAGTGAATAACGATTGCAAGCATTGGCAACTAGCCAAACACGTGTTCATCACTAAACCTATTAGTAGAATAAAGAAAGTTGACTGATTTGTAGTCGGATGAGGAATACGGACGACAACAAAAGGTAACAACGTTTACTCCGTTCGAACAGCATCCATAATGGAACATTTGTGTTTACAAAACAACAGTGCAATGGTCAATTAAATGCTCGAAAACGCTGAATTGAAATTCGGTAGAACTTAACGACTTAGTAGCTGGTCAATCGTTTGCCACCATAGGCTGTCAATTCCACAATACAGCATCGACGCCGAAGATGGGTAATAATCCGCCAGAAAGAAATAACAGAAAGTTCGTAATATTGCAGTGGCAGCATCGCTACCGCGACTTTTGATATGGTGGCCGCTTCGAACAGGTTTGCCAAACGAGTTCCCACTGTCCTTCAGGCCGGACAATGGAAAAGGTGAAACTACTTGTGAGAAAAACCTCTATATTTTGAGCATGACGATTTCACTTTGTTTGGTGCCTGTCAAAGTAAGATTCAAATAATACAACTCAGGCTAATGCTTGGTACACGAAGATTTTTCTTTCTATGTATACCCTCGTGGAATAAGAGGACAGTCGAGAGTTACGGTAAGAACATGATTAACAGCTGTGGGCGTACATAGTTTATCTAAAGATTAGCGTAACCCAAGTGAACATGCTAACAGAATACAGTTGGTTGTGTTTAGCTAACTATCCCACAGGATGCTTTCGATGCAATACGCGTATCCTATTATTCATATTTCGTAATGATTTAATTCGTGTAGTTGACCAACGCAGTTACCATGGTTGCACTGAAGTTCATACACTTCACATTAGATCAGAATGTCAATAAATCGTTCGTTTCATAGGTGGCTGAGGCTCTAAAAGGATACACAACTCTTCCCGGCGTTCCAAGCAAATCATTTGGGTAGATTGTTTGTTGTTGAACGAGTTGGTCATTAACAGTGAAAGCTGAGTTCGGTATTCTGAGCAATTTTGGCTCCGTCCATCAGAAATCCCTCCTACAACAGTAGTGTAAACGAGAAGAACAGCATCCATATGTACCTCGCTAATTGACACCGTTTTACTACGAACATGACCTGCATCATCCGACTAAAGCCCTACGATCAGCAACCCCCCGAATCCGTCCGTCACCTGAAAAGACTGCAACGCTAGGGAATTCATAGAAGTATATACTTATGACAACGTTTGGAACATAGAGCTGGAAAGGGAAAGCACAGAAATGGTGGACCAATGGATTCAGAAGTGTCCATCCGACACCCCCTAGCGGCGTTAGACAGCTCTTGAAATAATTATGGATATAATCTGCGTAACACACTGCGTCTGTTTGCTAACAGGCAGTGTGTAGTTGGAAGAATTAAGCAAGCATGCTCTCAACTCACACGTAAAGTTAGCTAACAGTAACATATGTAGCGCCTGAAGTCCAGTTTCCATATATCGGTCTCTTATACTGTATTAGTTATCATGTGCCGCGTCGAATTAGAAACCAGGGAGAAATATGTCAGCAGGGAGCGTGATTTGCAGGTGGGTTTCGTTTTCAATGGGTTGAAAATAATCTTACTCCATAAATAAATTTTAAAAAGTCAGGGTTCGTTAACAGTTTGACAAATACTATTTTAAGTGTTAACGTTCTAAAAATTTAAGAAACTTATGGAGAACCCTACTAAATACTGACCAAGTTGGTCACAAAATGATGAGGAAAGATACGTTATGATTTTAAAACTTTTGATCATTATTTCCGTTATTAGTGCAATTTAGAAATTGTGAATTCCTAGTTCCCTAGAGTACTTACTATTTATTCATAACCAAAACCTCTTTAGGAGAGGGAAATAGAGTGTTGCCCGCCTCGGTTACGGTCCTAATGATCGCAGTAACTAAAGTTCACTTCAATGTGAATCGCGGTCCATAACATTGGGATTGCGCCTGGCAATCTAACCACACAACGTACAGTTCAAAATTGACTCACTAATTGGTCATTTTCCTTTGTGACAAGCGCTGCCCACCATAAACCCGGTAGTAAAAGAGGTTCAGGTTCCGGCTACTACTCCAATGGTCGCGGGTTCGAGGCCTGCTATCTCCACCTGATGCGATGAAAGGACTTCGAGACGCGTCGTGATTGTACGGTGTTTGCTGGCGGGCAACACCCGATTTTCAACTGTTTCGGCTACAGTCCCAGTGATCACAGTAACCAAGGTTCACTTCAATGTGAATCGCTGTCCACATTGAGGTTGCACGTCGCAATCCAATCACACAAGGTGTAGTCCAAAATCGCCACTTCAAAACATGTTTACTTCACGCATGTAACGGCAATGATTAGGCAGCTTGCACGATTGACAGCATTTAGCCAGTGCATTATCTACACTCGATTTCCTTCAGTCGTCATATCGCAATGTTCCGTTTATTTCTGTACGCACACGAGCCTCGAAGCTTTGTTTTGACTCACCAGATATCACACGATTGAGAAAGTACCGGTTGAATTAAAGCCACGAAACTATGTTTATATCTCCGGGAATCTCCAGGTTACTTCACAGTGATTAAGGTGGAAGTATAGTTAATTCAGTGAGCTTCGTGTGTTTCGGGGCTAACTACGTCCTCTGCAACGTTCATAATGTGCATGGCAGTGGAGGAGAAGACAGGTTATATCGCAGCTATGGCAGCCGACGCTGTCCCCCGTGGGCAGTGGTATAAGCTGCTGACTGGCGGTGCAACCGGCTGGCGGTCATGGATTCAAATCCTGATGTACTCCATGGATGTGCACTACTGTTGATAAGGTAAAAATTGAAGTCTGTTGCTTTTCCGGTCATGTGGAGGAATATCTGGTTTGGAATCTGTTGCCACGTCCTCCAAATTAATTACATCAGAAGCCCCTACTTGTGAGTAGTCCAGTACAGTTTGTAATGCCCAGTGCCCTTAATTCTCACAGTCCAAACGATTCGTTAATATAGGTGTCATCGGCTCACTTAGAGCTTGATGTTTCTGCTGTAAGAGCAGTCCTCACACGCGACAAAGTAGAGGTCATACTGACTAAATTTCAGCTGTCCGCAAATATCGCTTAACGTGGTCTGCTGTTGCTGCGGACATTCACGAGCGTACAATTGCATGTGGGTCACTGTGATCTGGGCCTAACTGCCCACACGTCTCGGACACACTGAATCAGAAGCTCCATTGCAGACTGACGCATGCAGAAAGCGTGCTCACATTCACAAACATACTTCCAGCATAGCACGTGTGACCGAAAAATTTCCGATATAGTGACCGTTGAACGCCGTGAGCATACCATTTTTACGCCCCGGACCGTCCAAGTTGGACACATTTGGGACGAATTTCGGCCGCTTGGAAGTATTTTTCTAGCACACCCATAACATATACCGTAAATACATATTTGCTGGTTATAAATGCTGTCAACTGTTAGCACAAATTGATTCCCAAACTTCTGATTACGCAATACTGAATGCCCACTGCCAAACCGAAACTTTTCGAGTGACCTTAATTTATCCCACATTTGTCCAACTGGAACAGCCAGGGGCATTAAAAACCGTCACCCGGGGCATAAAAACTGTCACTATTGATGACTAAACTTACGACGTGGTTAAAGATAAAGTTTCCTATACAATGAAAGTTGATGTTTAATATGTATACTATTATAGTACGAAGACATTGGGATAGAGTAAACAATTTATTTTCATATTCAATTTTCGCATCTCCCAGTCACCAAAAGCACACCGAAATGGGACAGCTGGCCTGTCGTCTTTGTGGAGAAGGTTCTTGCCTACAACTAGGTGAACCGGGCGAGGCAACTTTGTTTACTAAGTCATCGTAGCTTCCAGCCCGCTGTTGCATCCGGAGCAAACGAGCAACATACAAACTACAATTTGAGTCACGGATGTCTGAAGTACGCAAGGCGGTCCTTGATCCCAAACCTACTTTACTCTGAAGTTATTTTTGGATTTTGAACCAGCCATATAGGCTGTCTACCCCATCCGTGTCGGTATCTGACCTGTTGGTAAAATCTGGGGAGGCAGCCCAGCAGCATTTGCATCGAATGCCAGTAATCTTGAGGACTATAAGCGGGATAAAAGCACAATAAGGTTTAACATATATTCTGTTATTCAACTATAGCCAACATTCAGGGTAACTGCATCAAGTGTGCTACAAAAATCCCACGACTGGAAAATCTGTTGCGAGTGTGCAATTCCGTGTTGTTCGTTGGGCCAAGTACCCCGAACAATGAAGTGACTCACAGTATTAGCATGTATCGGTTGGAGTCGGGGTGTTACAATGGAAACACCTTCAATGGTTTGAGAATACCTACGGTTTGAAATAATCTGCTGTGCTATAGAAATGCCCACTGCATAGTCTGTTTGCCACAACAAAAAGGAGTGCATATGGATGAAAGAGGAGCACTCAGGATATGCTGCTGAGTGTGCACTTGTAATAAACTAACTATTGTTACGGTTGCTGGGGAGAACCCGGCGTCCATTGCGGGTTTTCGTATTAGCACACCAAAAGGATCATTGTTTAAGGTGGTAAGGAGACGAATAGCGAATCGCCTGTTAGTGAGACATATGGGAGCAAATGTGCTAACCGGAATTGCTAAGCAGCGTAAAGCGATG